GCATTGCCAAAATAGATTCCCGAATTAACGAAATTAAGACTAAATTAGCACAAAAATGTATTTTATCAGAACAATAGGTTAGTTGTAGTTGTAAATAGTAGTTATAAGTAGTCTCCCTTTTTCAAATTTTAAACAAACCAATCCCACCAAGATGGTCATTCTTAAAACAGGCCTGATAGGACTAGGAACTGTAATTAATAATAATTTTAATTGAAAAGGAACTAAAGCTGAAAAGACGCATCTGTGTCACTTGATAAGGTATACATGTAAACCACACAATACAAGAAATAAAGATCATTTAAGTCAAGTTCTTGACCTGTTCCATTCAGTTCATCTCTCTTAGCGTTTCAAGTTAAAAAGCAAGAATTTTTTTACGATGGATAACAATTTCAAGTGTTGTAAACCTCCACCTAAATCAATTTCAAAGCATGACACAGTAGCAGTTCAGTTGTTTATCTCAAAATTATTAGAATTTTTAAAGTCGCAAATAACAGTCCAAAAGTGTATTTTTATGTTAGATAGAGCAGCATCACAATACAAAAACATATAAACTTTGCTAGCCTTTGTGGATTTAAAGATAAGCATAATGTAGAAATGGAATGGCATTTTTTTGCAACTTCACACGGCAAAGGTCCTTGTGATGCGATTGGCGGTACCCTTAAGAGAATGGCAACCAGAGCAAGTTTAGCTAAGCAACACGAGCACCCTATAACGAACCCTAAACAACTGTACGACTGGGCAAATAGTCGTAAAGAAGATCTTCAAACAAAAATGTCATTTTGTTATGTTTCTACGGAAGAATACAAAAAGGCTGGCACGGAATTTGATCCAATTTTTAAGAAAGTGAAACCAATTCCTGGAACTCGAAAATATCATTGCTATATTCCAGTTTCATACAACCAAATTACAGTAAAAATATTCTCTAATTCAAACGATACACCCAAATTATTCAATGTATTCAAATAATATGAGTTGTAAAATAAAATAATAAATATATACTGTTTCTTATCTCAACAAATCTTTCATTTGACCACATCAACGTGCTTCTCTTCCGCTGTCTCTAGATAGAAACGGGTAAGTCTGACAGCTACCATATCTGAGAATGAATTGTTTGGTTTTTAATATACAATCATGAAATAAAATCTGGTTGCTGGACATCTCGACGAACATTTGAAAATGGCCTAATATATTGAAAATTGTTATAATTATATTTTTTTAATTCGCATTAACTTGAGAACGGCTGGACTTAGGAAAAAAGTTTCTATATGCAAAGTTATCGAAAATTATGCGTAGAATCCAAATAAATTAATATTTTACAAAAAACTATGCATTTTCATCAACTTGTAAAAATCAACAAAAATTTAAAAAATTATAGCTTTCTTTTTAAGAAAGTAACCAGCATACACTTTTCACGAAATTTGAGGGTATTCCATCAATTTTCTTGAAAAAAAAAAATATAAAGATCGAAGGGGGGGGTGTTTTGAGATAATCATCGTTTTACGTTTTTTAAATACTAATTTACGAAGTTTTTTCTTTCAGTAATTTTTTTCCGCAAAGATAATTTAATTACCTAAAACTTCTTCTCATATGCCGTTTTGATCAGATCAATAGTTTTCAAGTTATGATTTTTTGGAAAAAAAATAATCCATTTTTTATACGCCCTTTTCAAAAGTTACTCTGGAGGAAAAAATCATATTTAAATGAAAAATGCAACCATTAGTAGCAGCGAACACGTGAGCAATGTTTCATTCAAATCAGAAGGGGTCGAGACAATATTGACATTTTTTTTAACGATTTGAGCTAGAAATGCTCTATTGAGAGCGTATGAGAGCGGAAAAATATAATTTGATTGATGATTTTGCCAACACTGCTCCATACTGCAAAAATGATTTTCCTACCACTGAAGGTGCGACATCTCTCGAATCTTCAGTATAGCAACTACTCAAACCATATAATTAATTGAATGTTTCTGCTCAAATCTCAACACAAAGATCTTCAAATTGCATTATCTACAATATGACTGGTTTACAACACGCCTGCTTGACTTCTGCCTGACTTGAAAACACGCGTTAATAAATCCTTTGATAAGCCCCCTGTGACCTAAAGCTAGTCGAAACACGAATTGGCGTTGACGGCACCGTTGAAAAATCGTCTCTTCTAGCAAAGATTGACAGTATCTTATGGGAATTTTCAGTGGAGTGAAGGATGTACGAAGTCCGCCATGTTTCACGCACAGTCTGACGTTTGCTTATGGATTTTACCATTGGAGTAAAGAGCTACAGAGTCGCCGTTAACGCCAATGGTCGCATTACCTTGACAATTCGCCTTTTCGGTCATTCTGTAACTCTTTATTCCTATTATGGTAAAATGCGAACGTCAGTCTATACGTGAATATCTCATATAAGATACTGTTAATCTTTGCATGAAGAGATAGCGGCTCGCTGGTGCCATGGTGGAGTTAAGAAATACGAAAAAAAAATCCGCTAGATTTCAAGCACAGATTTACAGATGTGATTTTATCATAGGAGTAAAGAGGTACATAGCCGCCCTCAACGTCAATACTTACACGTTATTTCAAAAATACTCAAATTTGAGTAGAATCTTCCCCGAACGGTCAAAACTGAACCTACTCAACATTGGGTAAACTATGTTGGGAGTGACAAGTTGACAAATGGACAACATTGGCATGGATCCGACCGAAGTTTTTCAATTGTTAGTCCGTCACTCCCAACATAGTTCACCATTTTTTTGATAGGTTTAGTTTGACCAGGATTTTACTTAAATTCGGGTAGCTTTCAAACAGCGTGTACGGATCATGCAATCAAATACATGCTTTTCTTTCATAAGGGCCAATGTCACAAACGTAAGCACTGACTTTTCCACGAATTTCTTGAAAACTCGCTCAAGTAGGCCATCACGATAGTTAGGCATAGGAAAAGTTCCCATAGCTGGTAGAATTGCTGGGTTACATGGATTAGTTTTAAAATAACTTTTCTATTTCTTATTGAAATTGATGAACATCTTGGAAAAATTGAAGATGAAGTCATTTTAAGAAACTTTGTATATGTTCACGTCTTGCTATCTCTCAAGTGGACAAAGGTATAGGGTGAAAATGGAATACAAACGGTAGTACATGGTAGTACCCCCTTAAAAACCTTTTTTTACCATAACTTTTTACTTTGAATTTTTATTTTTTAAATTGATCTACAAAGTTGTAATTGCTCTAAAAATGCACATTTTTGTTCAATAAAGCAAATCGCTATGTAAAGGATTTTCATCCGTATTTATAATTTTGCAACACTAACATTAAAGGGGTGTATCTTGCAGGTTAGTAGGTATTAGCAGCTAAACTCAACGTGATTTCTTTCAGCAACCTATATGCTACTGTTACATACACAATTCATAGGGGGATCCAAGGGGATGTCTAATAAATTTTCTAATAAAGTACCACAATGTTTTGTTACGTTTTGCTGTTTTCATAACCATTTTTCCAAGTATGTACATAAGAGTGAGTTGCAGCTTTGACAAAGTTGTTTGGTCAATCTAAGTTCGAATTTTGGTGAAATTTGAGCAATATTTGGATTTTTTCGTAAGCAAATCTAGATAGAGCTTTTGTAAACAATGACTTCTTTCGATGATTTCTAGGAATTCAAGGCACGCCCACTCAATCCAACATAACCATCGGGTAGGAGAAGTCTTGCCTTGTCCGATGATGATGTTGATTTGTGTGGGCGAGCCTTGACTTTTTAGAAATCATCGAGAGAAGCCATTGTTTACAAAAGCTGTTACGCCCTAATTCCAGCTCTATCTAGAAATGTCTAGGATCATTCGGTTTCCCATACAAAATTTAAAATTCTCCCGCAAATCGAGATTATAACCAAATTCGTTCAAATTTTTCCTAGTAGTTTGCGACCAGAATAAGCATAAAAAATGAATTGTATATGCAACAATAGAGTAGAAGATTCTTCTTCTTCTTCTTTGCATCTCAAGCCTATTGCATATCGCATTTTAGCTTATTGCGCGCTCTCAACTTAGTGTTCTAGATGCACTTCCACAGTTATTAATTTAGAGCTTTCGATGCCTGTACCATTTTTGCATTGATATGATTGTGTGGCAAGTCCAATCATACTTCTATGCCCAGAGAAGTCGAGAAATTTTCCAACCTGAAAAATTCTTAGACCGGACCGGGAATCGAACCCAGCCACCTCCAGCATGGTCTTGCTTTGTAGCTGTGCCTTTACCGACTGAGCTAAGGGAAGCCCCTGTATAGAGTAGAAGACGCTGAACAAAATAACGTTGAGATTAGCTGCTAATACCTGCTAACCTGGAAGATACACCCCTTTACAGATAGCGTTAAAAAATATAGAAAGGGTCTTAAATCCTTAAACCAAAGTAGTGTGCAGTTTTAGAGCACTTACAACTTTGTAGAACATAAAAAAAAGAAAATTCAAACTAAAAAGTTATGGTAAAAAACGGTTTTTAAGGGGGTACTACCGTTTGTACTTTATTTTCACCCTATGACTTCGTCCTCTTGAGAGATAGAAAATTGACGTCCTCGACAAAGTTTCTTAAAACGAGTTCATGTACAATGTTTCCATAGATGATCATCAGTTTTAACAAGACATAAAAAATTATTTTTTATTTATCTTAGTGTATAGCCCCTTTAAGCAAAATAGTTCACCAGTGCAACAAATTATATTAAAATTTAAGAAACATTTCAGAAGACATCAAAATGTTACACTCAATAGTTTCGTCGCAAATGTGTCATGTCCCTCTTTTTTTGATTTCGTCCCACTGTGCATCGCAAAAAGCATTCATCCATTGTCGTATAGAACTGGAGACCATTCACCGACACCTTCCTAATTGAATTACAAACTCGAACTCTTCTCCGTACCACATCGTCACCTAAGTGGCACAAGCAAAAAAAAAAAAAAGATACTGACCCGTCACGCCACCGAACCTACCGAATAACTTTCCGTCTTCTCCGTATTCATTTTCAGCCATCCTGGCCTTCGATTGCACGTTCCGGGTGACCCGGGGGGACATCTACACGACCGGGCTGCGCTCGAACAACACCCCCGTCTTCCGGCAAAAGTCGGCCTTCTACGAGCGGCTCGTCGACACGTCGCTGGAGCAGAGTGGCCTCACCGTGTCCCGGACGGAAGTAATGGACTTTGGCGACGGGCCAACCATTGTGCTCAGCTTCCGGGTGTTTCTCGACATGAGGAGGATTAAAATGTAAGTGGACTTTTCCGTTGGGGGCTGTAATCATACAAGCGGTGGGTGCAGGGCATAATTTACATGTGTTTCATGGTGCTTTTTCTTTTGGGCTCGCTTCAGAACGATTAACAACGTGGAGGAGCATATCCGACAGGCGGTGCTGAGCGAGCTGGCCAATCCGAATTCCGCCTTCAAGAATATTAGAGTGGATCCGGATACGATAGAGATCAAACGGTTACTGGATCAAGAGGTACTGAAGACGGCGTTTCTCAAGAAGGAGGAGGTAAGGAAATATGGCATTTCCGTTAACAGCTTTTGTTATGAAGCTTTTTTCACTAAATGCTTTTTTTTTATTTGACTAAATATTGCATAGCACATGTATGGTTTATTGTCTGTGGTTTTCAGATTTATAGTTTTACTTGTTTCTTCTATCAATTATTTAATTTCTTTTGTCGCTTCTCATTTGAAAATTAAATGCTTTTTTTTTAGATAGTTTTCGTATCCATATTTGCCTACATACCATTCAATAACTTTTCTTTGTTTTTCACAACTAAAATTTTCGTACCTAGGGTTTTTTATAATCTCTGTTTTTTTTACTGGATTTGAACAAACAAATGTCTTGCTATTTATCTGGTTGGTAATCTATGGTTATTTTTCCGTAGGCTTATTTATAATCTTTCGTTTCCCCTTTAATTTGTGCATTCAAGTAATTCGTTCCGCTTTCCTTTAGTTTGGTACAACCGTTTTATTTTTATTGCTTAATGCTTAAACATTATTGCTGCAATAATAATCCCTCAATAATCACAAAAAACATCCTTCTCTCTCTCAAATCAACAGCCATTCCCACCCGCCAACCGAACACCGGAGGACCGTTATGGCCCACCAGCGAAAAAGTCCGGCGTAATCGAGAAAACCATCCACAAGTTCACGCCAAAACTGTCCACCTCCACCGTTCCGTCGACGAGTGCTGGCGACAAAAGGCCCCAACCCCGGCAGCCCCAACAGCAGACCCAGCAAGCAGATGGTGAATCTGACATTGACATGGATAATTTACCGGTTATACAAGGATCATTTGAGATAACGAAAACAGATGCGGACATCACGCAGAAGCGCGGCACGGCAGCGGGAAGTAGTTCGGCGGGGGTGACAGTCACCCTGAAACCATTCGCCGTCAGTCCGGCTCAGCTTAAGGTACGCAACGGTGGGGGCGGCGGTGATAAGCGGCAGAGTGAAAACGTGAAAGGCTCGTACGGGGAACAGGAAAAAGTGTCGCTATCCTCATCAACGATGCGACCGACCGCCACCGGAGGCAAACCAAAATATGAAACGGCGACAGCCAAGATTGAAAAAACGGACAAACACGGTGCGACAACGAAGAAAATTAAAACTAATTCTGGTAGTCGGAGCTCGTCTACGAGCCGCAGGACGACTAGCACTACCACCACGACGACGACGACGACTACCACCACTGCTGTCCCCTCAACACCGATGACAACGACGACGACGACGACGACAGAAGCCACCACAACGACCTCCACCCCCAGAACGACGTTAAAGAGCACTACAAGCCGCAGCACAACACCAATCACGTCGGAAGAATCCGAGTCGGCGACATATCTGCCAATTAGCGACCACAATGACACGCTGTTGGAGGACTTTTTGCAGGCCATCATCAACGATAGCCTGCCGGAGGAAGAGACCGCGCAGAAACGAGTGGATGAAAATATACCCAAATTGGACGTCAGCCTGTTCACGAGTGCTCCAATTTTGGACAAACAACCGTGGCAACCGATTCGGCCAACCATGCCCAAAGGCATACCATTGCACAAGTTCGTCTCGTCCAAGGCACCAAAGAAGAAGCCCACCCTGGCGGAGGAGATTCTCTACCGAAACAAGCACAGTGACATCGAGAGTTCACTCTACACGGAAAGTCCCAGCGGTCAGATTTACTACCAGAGCTTCACCAATCCTAGCTTCGGTTCTTCCACGCTGGGAATCGAACCGCTAGGTGGGATGGACGTCAAACCATACCCGCTTCCCGTGGATAAGATCTCGATCGAACAGATTCCAGATTTCAAGCAAATGACTCCGACGGCGATCAGTATCAGTGAAAATTTGATGAATATGACACTGGATGATAAGAAATTTGAACACTTGGGAGGAGGTGTCATTGCGAAGAAACCGGAAAATAAGACTACTCCGTACAGAACGACTACGGAGAGCATGAAGACCAGCGTGTATACGGTGACTCCAGTTTACGTGGAACGAATCAGTGAGAGTTTGGTCAACTCGACGGAGGAGTACGTAGAATACTATCAGGTCGATGGCGCTACCAACTATACGGAAATGGATACCACTACGACGATGATGATGGATGAGTTCAACGATACGCTGGATTATTTGCTGGACGTGGAGTCCAGGCTAAGCCCGGATGAGGAGGTTTACAGCACTGAAGCAGTAACGGCTTCGACGGTGGAGAGCAGTAGCGTGGAGAATTCCACCGAAATGGCGTTCGAGTTTGGTACGAGTGAATCCTTGGTAACGACTACGGAGCTATTCGAGCTGGAGACAACTCCAGCTTCGACGACGGAAATGCTGATGACTACTACGGAAACGACTACGGAGCAGCCCAAGACGACAACCAGCAGTAAACGATCAACGTTCGTTGAAGTTGAAACGCTCAAGTACAACCCAACAACCAGTGTTCCGACGGCTACGGCGATGGTTCCGGAACTTTTCCCCATCAATAAGTGGGAGTTTGTTAACGGTTCTCGAGTGACCGCGACGAATCGGCAATCTACGAGGAAGGTATTTAACGAAACCTTGCAAGCACTGATTGTGGAAAACATCCAACTTCCAACAACGATGGCCAGCGTAAAAATCGAAGATTTGCAGAGCAAGCGTAACAATTCAACGAACCTCCAGAATTTGTCGGCCATTTTTGACACATTGGCATCCAAGTTGGGTATTCAGACGGAAGCCTCAAGCAAATCACCCCCATTCTCTTCGCTGTCTAAAATCAAGAACCAATACAAGAGTTCAGCAACCCGTCTGGAAGCCGGCTCCACTAGGAACCGTACCCGAAATCCAACCCGACCAAAGCGAAAGAAGAACAAGAACACGAATCGAACAACCAGACTTACTTCAACTACAACCACCATCCCGACTGAAGCCCCAACGAAGACCACTTCAACAACAACAACAACAACAACTCCCAGAACCACCACCCCAACACCGCCACCATTCATCACAACTCCTTTTGCCAAACTAGCTCCCACCGTCATCAACGAGGACATCGGGGACGTTGTCCCCGTTATGCTCGCCCCAGCCGGGCCCGAGCTTTCCTCCGAATACTACGCCGGTCAGGCGGAAGTGGAAATCATCGATCCGAACCAGTACGAGGAAATGCTCCGGCTGCTGGCTACGACCCCCTCGGGAGCCGTTCGCTATGCCACAACCACTTCCGTCCCTTCAGCCCTGGTTACGCTCCTTCCCCCGAAATCCAACTCCGGAATCAAAAGCTTCCGACCGAAAGTCAAGCTCCATCAAGGTGCCTCGCTGCTGACCAGAAGCAGCAGCAGCAGCTCGTTAGCAGCTCATAATCAGCAGTCCACCGATGAAGGCAGGAAAATGAGCGAGAGTTTAAAATTAATGAATGCAAATAATGGCCGCGAGGATGGCGGCGGCAGCGGCGGTGGGGACGTTCTCAACAATGGTCGGTCCACGGTTGTCGAAGCGGCGGCTCTGATGGCCGAAAGCGGCGGTCGGGGATTTGAAAACCAAAACGATAATAAAAATAACATGGAAGCGGTGGTTAGGGCCAGTATGCGCTTTGAATCATAAAACAGGACCACGGCGAGTCCGGCGGTGGTGCTACAGAAGCCGAATGGGTGGAATGTAAGCGTGGAAGGACCGAGCGAAAGGGACTGAGTGCCTGTGAGTGAGCGAACGATTGTGATGGTGTTGGGACATTGGGAATAGAGCAAGAAAAAAAAAGTGTTGCGGAGGAGTAAGGCACACATCCTCTGTAGACTTAAAAATGTGATTATTTTTATAGACGACACGAGCATTTTTCGACGCGAATCTTTGCGAAAACGGGAGATGCGTTGGGAAAAGGGGGAAGATGTGCATGGGACTTTCACGATGGGCTTGCTAAACGAATTGCGTTAGGACTTTTAGAGTGTTAAAGTTGTCAACATGCAGTTGCTGAAAAGTCACGACTTTCGCGAGGGAAATAAATGTTATGAATATAAAGGTAGCCAGAACAAGGTTGACAGAATCCACAAATGGCCGTTACTGAGGAATTTTTGATGGTGGAAATTTTATAAACTGTAAAGATTGCGTGCATGACATTGTATTCAGACTTTTGCTATATTATAATTTTGGAACACGAGATCTTTGTATAATCTTTGTAAGTGGCAAGGCAAATCAATACTAGTTACGGCCATTTGTGGATGGATCAAGTTATGAATCAAGGACCATTGCCGATAAAAGTAATCAATTTCCACGGTTTTGAATCTTTTCATAACTATCAAAATGACCATCGATGTCGATGATTGAATAGAAAACATGTTTTTCACGCTAATTCACTTATAAACAAATATCCGCTGGGATCGGCGTTGTTCCAATTTGAGGGCATACTTGATGGAGGCCAATTAATACTTGATGGAGTCCAATTATGACCGACATAATGACGGACCTGCACTATCATTTCAAATTTTTCAGAGTACAAGTCTCGGAAACTACATAAACCTCACGCTTTGCAAGTCTAACTCCATATTTGTTGCTCTTAATTTTTTTTTAAGTTAAGAATTGATACATTTTTCATCCATGATGTTAAAAACCATTAGTCCCAAAAGAACCGCTCATGTTTCAAAGAAGGAAAAAAATCATCCATAAATAGTCTTAAGCTAGAAATGTCATCACATGAAACAATTAAAACTCGAAAGAACTGCTCATGTTTTAAAGAAGGAAAAATTTGCTATGAAAAATCACAGTCTAAAATTTCTTCGAATAAAAATGTTCTTGTTTGCAAAATCTCGATTATTTTCAAAGTTTTAGTTTTTAAAACATTTAACAGGCCTATGCCCTTCAATTTTTACTAATATTCACCATCTTGGATTCCCAATTGGAAATCTGAAGATTCGATTATTAAACTTATTCAAAGACACAGAATTATGAAAAAAAATTCCTAAAGGCATTTCATGAATTCATGTATACATTTATGTACAAAAGTCTCTGCTCACACACACGGCCAGTGAGAACGAGCCAAATTTGAGTTTAGTTCACTCATAATCGCCAAAAATGCAGGAACTCAGCGATGAGTAAATTTGCCTCATAAACATGGAAAACTTCAAAAAATCTACCGGAAAATGACGAAAATTTACGAAAATTTTACTCAGTCTAGAAGAAGTACCAACAGACTAAGTGAATCAAATTTTTAGTTTTCTCATATTTGTGATTGTTTCCTGGACAATCCTGGGAAACCCTGGAAAAACATGAAGCAAATTTACTCACCGCTGAGTTCCTGCACTTAACGTGATTTTTGAGGTAGCTAAACTCAAATTTGGGTCATTCTCATTCGCCGTGCAGAGCTTTTGGAACATTTTTGTAGCTCCTGAGTGTTCTAAATGAGGTTTTATAAAGGCTTTAAGCTTCGTTTTAGACATTTCAAAATTCAGACTAATGACTTAAAGGCGGTCGGCCTAATGGCATTCGTCCTCTAAACTATGGTATTTTTACATATCGGGATCGTCAACATCCAGTATTGATCTTCCGGAAGCGTCTTGTAGTAGTATTTGACATGTGTTTCATCATCCATGATAACACATGCCAATTTTCCACACAGTAAGCTGCTAAATACATATCAAATCATTAGTCTTCTTTAGTATGCTCTGCTGATCCGTCTTGGAAGGCACTGTATGGCTTAAATGGACCGTTTTCGCATAAACTAAAAAACGCACGTTTTGGCACTTTTAGGCCACTGTGCCTTGGTTTGACGGATGGGGCATGTTTGTGACCAGTGCTGTCATCAAATATTATAAATTGACAATATGGTTCACTTCCCGAATTCCCATATGTTTCTGAAAAGACGCAACAGTAATACCAACCGGTGGAAACTAGCGATTTCAAATTGGCTCACTACTTGACTAGTCTATTGGTCCCATGCAACTCGACTAATTAGTAGATATGTTTGTTTTGATTCGCTATGAAAGTTTGACAGATACAATGAGAGGTTCGTGGATTTCCTATGTTTCGAGGGGTTCATCGATTAGCTAGGGACCAAAGATAGTACCAGAACTGAGCCAAAAAGTTGAGCATGTTTATTCGGGACATTATGGTCTTAGAGTTACCTCTATGGTAATACCTCAGAGGTAAATCTAAGACCAGAAGGTCCCGAAGAAACGTGCTCAACTTTTTGGCTCAGCTCTGGTACTATCTTCGGTCCCAAGCTTATCGATTCACCCCTCGAAACATAGGAAAATCCACGAACCCCTCATTTTATCTGTCAAACTTGCATAGCGAATCAAAACAAACATAGTGTAGTACTAGAATTCCGACAAGAATGGGATACGTTAATCGTTTGCTTGGGACCAATAGGCTAGTCAAGTAGTGAGCCAATTTCAAATCGATAGTTTCGTATTGATTGTTGGTAATACCCTCTCCCGGTGAGAAAGGTGACCAAAACCATTCGTGGCATTATTATGTAAGCGTGTAATCAATTCATAGTTTTAGTTAAATAAAAGGTGTGGCAGACAGTATTAGCTTTCTAAAGCATTCTTACACGCCTACTCTGACGTCATGACATTTTACTACGTTCAGACTATAATTGATATCACGTAATATAATATGATATCAAGAAAGCCTATACATCGTGATATCAGCTACAGTCTGAACGTACTATTAGCTTAAAGGCGATCCAAACAAATAAAACAAAAGGCAGATTATATCTGCGAACCCTCTTTACATATTGGCAACTGACAGGTCACTAAAAAAAACTACAAGGAACAGCCCTATGGGCTTGTACGTAATGGTAACGTAGGACTACAGGGTTGTATATAATAAATGTTATCCTTTAACTGCAACAGGAGCTTGTGCTCTGTGTAGGAATAGGAATTTGAGCGGGGTTCTCTCTGTTTATACTCTTTAGTATGACTAGGATTGCCCTGAAAAGAACCTTTTGATATGAATTTTAGTTGGGCAGTTGGGGGCAGCCTTGATAGATAGCTGCTTGCCGGGGAGTCTTTCGTTGTGTACTGGAGAACACCACCACTCATTACACGAGGTAATTGAATTAACACCGTTCGATGAAACCGGATGGAATTCAACTGCGGTTAGGGAAAGCGCTTTTCACAGGAAATCGGTGATAATTTTAACTATCATAGCAACAGTTGCACATTCGTGCAATTTTCAATTGTGTCATTTTAAAAATTATGAAGTCGTAATTTTAACAGATGCGTAGAAATATTTCTGATCGATTGGTGATAAAATTATTGAAATCGGTCTAGGGGCAGCTGAGTTATTAACGTTCAAAATCTTTCATAATTTCGTTATAGGGGAATTTACGTATTCTCGTCAATCTAAGCAGCGTCCGCACTTCTATTAGAATTTTTTCAGCGTCACGCACATATATGACGTGTCTGTTTGTTGAAATACATCTGCTGCTTGCTTCTCTATCCATTCCAATCGACAGAATTTTTCAAAACGGGTTGAAAGCGTATTTACAACGCTCCAAACTTCTCAGGTGAGTGTGACTATTGTCGGCAGCCTCTTTTTCTTCGGCAACCTTCCCATTAGAACTGCATGTTAACCAGCTGTTCTATTATCGGCAACTCGAAATCAGCCCCTTTTTGCAGTGCGTATGCTTCATTTGAAGATAAATCTGGCATAATAGGATTGCTCGGTCGTACAAATATAATCAGATTGAGGCTGAATGACTAAAGAATCGTTTGGATACATTCAGGGAAGTGTGTTGATGGGAAATCATAGTGAAATTATCGTTTAAATTGTGGTTGCCGAAAACAGTCAATGGGTTCCGAAGCCGACATTTACCCTATGTTCCATTTTTGGTTTCCACAAAGTATGCCTCCATATAGAAATCACATACATAGTCCTACGTCAAAAGTCCAGACGTCGGATCGAAGTGTTTTAACACTTGATTTTCATATGCACATTTGTTTTATTATGGACCCTTTAAATTGTAATCCGGGTCTTTCTTGTTACAGAGTTTAAGAAAATGCACTTCTTATAATTTATCACTGAATGTTATATGGTATTCTCTGCATCTAATTCGGCCTGAAACATCATCTCTGGGGGTCTCTTTGTGGTGATGTCGGGATCATGGTTATCGGTTACACCTGCTGTATGGTAGCGATGGATCTTGCCATTTTGAAGGCTTGCTTCTTGCAGAATCCGGGTTGTGATTACGTTTTTGTTATTTTGCTTAATTTCTCGGATGTGTGTAGATTTGTACTTTCCTTGTATTTTCCTGTAGTTACTCCACATTTCTTTGGCCGGGATGTGGATATTGAATTTTTAAATGAAATTATTCCAAGATTCTTTTTTTGCTTCTGTTATGGTTTCCCGTGCTTTAGAGTTGGCTTCTTAGGTAATTATTGACAAACTGGGGGTCTGGTGGTCCAATTTTCTCTTTTTTAAGTCTTCGTTGGGCTTTTCTTCTCGCTTTGATAGCAACAGCTACTTCTTCATTCCACCATGGAATGAATATGTTTTCCCTTGGAGTTTCCTTTAGTTTTCGGAATTGAATTGTCATCAGCCACTTTTATTTGTTTTGTAATTACATTGGCTTTTTCAAGCTATTTCTATGATACTCTGATATTTTTTCCCAGTCAGCTTCTTCAATTTTCCATCTAGGCCAGTTTGAACTTTGATTCGATGGGGTTGGCTCCCGTGCGTGTCGTCAGGAACATGAAGATCGAGTAGTCCTGCTAGTTGGCTTGAGCAGCACCAGATGGCGATACATGATCCTGTTCCGGTTCCTCGCTTATAATCGATTCTATAATCTTTCCTCCTTACTTCATCGGATCCCCACAGTGGGTGATGGGCATTTACGTCGCCTACTAGGAGGAATGGTTCCGGGATATATG